TTGGGAGGCAGAGGCAGGAAGATGACTTGTAAATTTGAAGCCAGCCAGGAACACATAGGGAGGAGATAAGGCCCCAAAACACCGTAACAGAAAACAGGAAAACACTAGTCTAAAGGGGAATAATATAGAACTGCTCACTCTCTCCTTCCTTCTCCCTCCCCCTTCACACACACACACACACACACACACACACACACACATGCACACAACACACTGAACACTAAAATACTTTAAACCTGCTGCTTTCTCAGCAAGCTTCATATTATCCAGCAAAAGGATGCTCTTATATTATAAAGGTGTTATAAAAATTCTGTAATAGCAGGACTGTTTGTCTTTGATGCCATTGTATTTATTCAGTAGCATTAAAAATATTCATATTATCTAGTAACTACGGGTACCTTGAGTTGTATTGAGGCACCCTCCACTGTGCTTTTTGAGGCAGGGTCTCTCACTAGGACAGGCTGGCTGGCCAGAATCCGAGAGAGCTACCTTTCCCTGCCTTCCCAGGTCTGGGACCACAAACACACACCACCACACCCTTCCTTTCATGTGGGTGCTGGAGACTCAACTTTACCAACTGACTTATCTTCCCAGTTCCAGTCCTCCTTATATGTATGAACTGATGTCACCTCTGTTCCAGGGACACTGGCAGACCATATAAGTACAGTCAAGGTTAACTGTAGCCTAGCCACAGCTATTAAAGATTAAATATCACCGATTCAAAATGTTTTAATTGTAAAAGGAGTGGAAACTGGCCAACTATAGTACTTTTATGAGATAGTAGAAGCATAGCCTCTAAAAATAAATGGACATTTACTTCCTTTCTTAGGATTTATTCTTATTTTATGAATGTTTGCCTGCATGTATATCTGTGTACTGTGTGTGTGCCTGGTGCCCAGAGGCCAGAAGAGGGTGTCAGATACCCAGGAGCTGGAGTTATAGAAGGTCATGAGCCACCATGTGAATCTTGGGAACTGAACCTGGATCCTCCATACTTAACTGTGGAACATCTCTGCAGCCAGGCATATCCACTCTTTTAGGAAAAAGGGAACTAGAACTTTAAAACACTGGACAGTATCATTATGCCACTGATTTCTTGGGCACTTTGACTTGGATTATTTTTCATCTGGTGTAAAATTAGTCTATGGCTTAGTCTATGGGTCTAACAAGTCAATAAAAAAATAAAGGAATATGACATATAACAAATACCATAAACTATACATTGACATGGAAATACTATCCAGAATTTTAGGTACTAGTTGAAATGAGGCAGTAAGTCTAGATAATTTGCTCTAACCCATTTCACAAATATTAAAATGTATTGGTTTTCAAAATATTTTAACCACAATTTGATGTAGTATGTATTTATATACTTATATGATAGAAAGCATAGCATTATTTGTAGATTATATTAATGAACCAAATATTATGTATGGTTCTAGAACTTGTTTTATAAACTTGCTAACAAGAGAGTTTTCTCTCTTTAATTATACTCTCTCTTAAACTACTAAGGGGAAGCAGGAGAGTCAGTAATGAAAAGTCATACACAATTACATAGCGAGTTTGAGGCCAGCCTGAGCTACATAAGACCTTGTCTCAACACAAACAACCAAGCAACCAAGCAAACAAACAAAAACTATTAAGAGTGTTTGAAAAAACAGAACCAAACAAACATGCCCAGGAAAGCTACCGAAAGCCTCTCTCTTTTCTGTTCCATGGTAGAACTCAATTCTGAAAGTTTGTAATGTATCCATATATGCACAGGAAAGACACCATCATTAAATAAACAACTTTCCCTCCACTGTACATGATTTTACCTGCTTATTGCCAAAATGGAATTGTGACGTCTTAGTTACTCTTCTTTGAAGAGACACCACAACCAAGGCAACTCTTAGAAAAGAAAGCAGAATTTAATTTGGGCTGGCTTACGGTTTCAGAGGCTTAGTCCATTATCATCAGACAGGGAGGAGGCATGGAGCAGTAGCTGAGAGCTACATCCCAATCTGTAAGCAAAGACACTGGGCCTGGAGTGGCCTTTGAAACCTCAAAGCCCACCCCCAATATCACACTTCCTCCAACAAGTCCACACCTACTCCAACAAAGCCACACCTCCTAATCCTTCTCAAATAATGTACCTGCCTGATGACTAAGCATTCAAATCTGAGCTTATGGAGGTCATTCTTATTCAAACCACCACAGGGACTCAAGCCCTTTCTCTTAAAACTTTGTTACTGTGCACACATAATGTATGTGTGGAAGCTGAGGGAATGCATGCCACAGGGCATATGTGGAGGCCAATGGCCAAGTCTGTGAGGTTGGTTCTCTCCACCTTTTCTTTCCATGGTAGAAATCATGTTGCAGGCTTACACTGCAAGGACCTTTACCAGCAGATCCATCCTACTGGCCTTTTGTTTTTCTTTAATGAGAAGTGTTTTGCTTTCTAGCCAAGATGAGTCTTGAACTCTTGATCCTCCTGCCTTGGCCTCCCAGGCAGGATTACAGGTATATGTATCACTCAGCTTGATTCAAATTTGTGTATTCATGTGGATGCTATGTACGTGTGTGTGCATGGATGTGTATGCTTGCATGTGTAGTGGTCAAAGGGCAACCTCAAAGGCCATTCCTTAGGACTTGTTCATCTTATTTCTAAGTCTCTTGCTGGCCTGGGGCTTGCCCAGTAGACGAAGCTGGAAGCCTGGGAGCCCTGGGGCTCACCTGTCTCCACCCACTCCTCGGCTGGCACTGAGAGTACAAGCATGTGCCACCATGCCCAGCTTTGGTACAGGGTTAGAGGATCAAACTCAGGTCCTTGTTTGCATTACAAGGACTTTACCAAATGAGTTACCATCTCCACCCTGATTCAGACTGCTTGATGGAGAACTTATATAAATTTGGAAAAGTCACAAAAATTCAGTCAACAACTAGGATAGGCTGGGATAATTTTCTCAAATATTCATGTTAATATTTGTGTAAGAAAACTATTTAAGGTTCATCTTTTAAAATAAGTTAATCTACTACTAACTTTAGAAACATAACAATGTGAAATGTTGATTCATTTGACTATTCACAGTAGAAAAAGAAGTTAAGCCTGTTGCACAGCCTAGCATCAACTAAGATATCTACTGTTATTTTATTTGACAGGACCAAATTTATACTAAACAACTCCATTACTGAGGAACTAATTTGGATATCACAGAAACCCCAGGTGAATAAGTAAAACATACATCCTCTGCACACAGAGAAACACTCCTCCAGGGTAGGAATGGGCCACAGAAATCCATAGTGAAATGCAAACACAGAAATCCACAGTGAAATACAACCACAGAAATCCAGAATGAAATGTAACCACAGAAGTCCAGAGTGAAATGCAATCACAGAAATCCAGAATGAAATGCAACCACAGAAATCCAGAGTGAAATGCAACCACAGAAGTCCAGAGTGAAATGCAACCACAGAAGTCCAGAGTGAAATACAATCACAGAAGTCCAGAGTGAAATATAATCACAGAAGTCCAGAGTGAAATGCAATCACAGAAGTCCAGAGTGAAATGCAATCACAGAAATCCAGAGTGAAATGTAATCACAGAAGTCCAAAGTGAAATGTAATCACAGAAGTCCAGAGTGAAATGTAATCACAGAAATCCAGAGTGAAATGTAATCACAGAAGTCCAGAGTGAAATGTAATCACAGAA